CATCTATAGAGGGCCAAGTAAATTTTTTGTCTAGACGACAAGCTTGATGAATGTACCTTGAATGAGGTTACAGTGGGTGCAGTGGGTGCAAAGCAGTCTCCACAGCAGCCAGATGAAACCATTAATTGCCGGCTGCAGGCTTTAGACAGGCTTTGATGCTAGTGTTTTCCACCGACCGTGGTTATTGCAGACGTCGGTCGTAGAGGGGGATACGTGCTAAGTGGATGGGCAGACTGGTGGCTATGAATATGGGGATCAAATCTTCCTAATTGTACTGACTTCGGAATATTACATTCCTTCTGAAAACAAGTGCATTTGAAATGCACATATGATGGTCAGTTCTCTCCTCGACTTGGTAAATTCTTGACAAACATGAAAATCCTCATTGGTTCGACACGTTTTCTGTTGCCAATGTAAATGATTTAAGTGTAGCATTGAGGCTTTATGTGGCTTGAATTCGCACTTTGCTTTCCTTTTTTTACGCCCTATCATTATATAGTCAGTCGTGTAAAGCATTTGCTAACGACGTTCGGTTATGGGCATCGTCTTCTCTGCTGAGTGGTACATACGGTGGGTGGTTCTTACGACAGTAGCTCGAGATGATTTTAGAAGCTTCCAATAGACAGGCTTTGATGCTCATGGTTAGGGTGGGCATTTGAACGTGGTTGTTGGTAATGGTTGGGGAGGGGTACTTTCCATTTTCTCAAATGACATGTATTATCTCAGACGTTCGTCAACAATTTGTTTCTTGGGACAACACAGAAAGTACAGTGTGCAGTGGTTGCTTGATATGTGTCTGTCAAAAGACCACTCATTGAGTTCACCGAATGTGGTTGGCAAACGTTGGTTTTCTTCTTTCGAACCATCAAAATTGCCGTTAATTCAACAATTTTGGTGATTCCAAATTCAAGAGTAGCCGAAGCATGTTTAATAGCCGAGAAGAGAACATCTAGTTGTCAGTCGACTGACATTGAATTTGTTCGACTGATAAGATATGCATAGCATTCTTCTTATGAACAAATTTCCTTTGAAGGTGGAGGGTGCATCAGGATGTAGACGTTTGTGTCTCCATGAGCACCGAAGACTCGCGTTGGCAGCAGAGAACGCTTCACACCATTTCGACGGCACTTGCGTACCGGCAACATTTTACCGCCTGTCTGGACCCGTGCCATATCTCACTCCACATGTCGCCTGCAGTTGGGTCGCCAAAAGAGGCGTGACCTCTTTGCCGCACCCAATACCAATGACCTGTGCTTCAAATGAGAGGATACTGAAGTCGTGCTGCGGAGGACGCAGGTCATCGCTACTGTGTTCACCGCGGTGATGGTCAAATCCACAGTCCTTGTCTTTAGTCCGTCCTCCGACCATCCATGACCCCAATGACTCTGATGCTAGCTCTGAAATAAACACGAAAACTGTGTCGCGATTCAGAATTCATTAATCAGTGTTGCTTTGCAATTTTCATCCCGGCTCGTGATTTGTAAATATTGGATTCATGAAGACGACTTTCTGCATGTAACGCCACTATTACAATCCAGGAGTTGTCTTGAACAGTGAGTAGTTGCTTTGTATTTCGACAGATAGATACATTCGCTTGAAGATTCATTATTGAGGCGCTTTCACTAGCATCTTCTAATACTCCACAATTTGTTTTTAAAGTCTGTCGCAAACCTTGATGTTCGTCTACTTTCCGCTAGTTGCCACATCTTGATGCCATAGGGTAATCTAGTTGGACTATGTGGTTCAGAGTGCATTTCTTGGTGCCGACTGCCTGTCTTTCCAAATCACTATCTCTGGTGAATGTGTTCACTTAGATGACGCATTTAACAAAGGCGAAGGAGTGATGCGCAGGTGATATTTACCAGGGCGCGTCGGGTCACATCTAAGCAACGAGTAATCTTGAAATGGGCCACGACATTCGCCAGAGTGAGGTCTGCTTGTTGAGTACTGGTGACCCTTTGAACTTCACTACGTGAAGTGCATTCAACACAATTGGTTGAAACCGTGCTCGCTCACGCTTGTTAGCATGGACTGAACAACAGTTATTGCAGCTAATTAATAGTTTCGTTATTTCAAATAAACGTTGTGTAAATTCGCGATTCATCTGAGAAAGGAGACGGCAAGTTATCTGTCACAGCAAGTAATCTTCTTTAGCACTATGCAAAAATATCTCGTGAATAGGTGAGTACAGGCGTTAACTGAGCTTGCTGTGTTAGAAGGTTTGACAATACACGTTGCTTAGTAATGTCAACTAGACATGTGCGCCCACAACCGAAACCCTAAATGGAAATGTGATTAAAACATGCAACCATAGTGCCATCTTGAATGTGGAAATTCGTGTTGCGTTTCGTGGCCAACCACTAACGATTTCGTGCTGCCGGTTGTCGCTCGGGACAGAAGCGGCAGATTTTTTCAGGTCAGGCATCGTGGTCGATGGTAACTGTGAATTAACCGAACAAGATCTCGACTAGCTTCGAACCGCATGGAATGTCGGGCCCATTACGACCAATGTGAACGAAAGTTGTAATGGGCCCGACAACAGTTCTGTGGAAGCAGTGTGAGTACCTGAGGGCATGAAGCATAGGCTGCATCACATTGGACATCCAACAAGCCTGTACGCAACCGTGTAAGGCACCACACACTGGAAGTTTGGATGTCACGACGGCATTTCACATCGGGTCTTCTTGCATCCCGTTGTGCACTGCATGATGCTGCCTAAATGTCACAATCAAAATCAATGCGTATGTGAGTGCTTTCTCCAATCAATGGCACGCTCTTTCGCTCTCTGCTGCATGTTTGTCGCAAACCACAACCAACTGCTTATGGTCTCATGTGTGCCTTGCTTGATTTGCAGGTGCATTGCGGACACGCTAATCTCATGCAACAAGCCAGTCACTTTTATCCACACAGTAATGATAGCCAAGGAATTGGCAAATTTTAACATCAGCCTACTTCAACAAGCAGATTCAGTTGCACGGACTGTTGTCTTTCACCGCTAAAATTTGTCAGTAGATACGGTAGAATGATATCTTGGCCACATAGCCAGGTTTAAAATGTGTCCAAGTGCGGTTACACGAAGGGGGCACTGGTCAGTGTCAGACGGAATTGGGGAAGGAGAAACTACAAGTCCAATTCAATGTACTCCCTTACCTACAAGACTACTAACAAAACGTAAATAAGACGCTCAATGATCTATACCATATTGGAGGTTACACAGTGAAACCCACGACAGAAATCCCATGAAGTCAGTCGGAAGGCTTATTTGGTGTGTACTCAGCACGGTAGATATGGTTACCCTGATCCGATTATATGTTTCCTTATCTGAAAGGAATTCGTTTGGGCTCACGCTTATTTTGCGTTCCATGTAGTGACTTCAGCCTTGGTTGCTGTCCACCTGTGTTTCCCCAAACATAGGTGGGAGAACTTTATGCTTTTCCAACTTCCGGCGGTTCTTACCATCGCAGTTGAACTGGGTTTGCACAAGCTGTTTGCGATAACTTGCATTTGTTGAGCAAAATGTCACCTGCACCACAATTTCAAGGAACCCATTAGCTCAAAAAGTTGGGTGTGGAATGTGAGGGCAACGGTATCATTTCCCAATTGACGGCTAACGACGATCTGCAGACCGCCTAAAACAATTTCTGCACGAATGATGCTGTGCCTACTAACTGCAAATGTGTCGTTTAATGTCTACCAATAGTTGTAATAAATGCGCAGAAATATACACAGATAAACTGTCTCAACATTACATTGATGTAAGCATCAAACACCCCCTTTATTACACAGTTACTAGCTAAACCAAAATAGAAAATGAATTAGCCGCATTTGAAATTCGCAACAGTGAGTGTTGAGATAAAAAAAAGGCTTGCTAGCGTGCAAATCATCACGTCGAGTCGTCTGAAATGGGAAAAATCAAAACTGAGTCCAAATTGTTCATTTCCTGTGTGCTTACATCTCATGTGCTCTATTTTGTTCAATTCAACTAAATAGATTTCACTTAAAGTGCATACCAGATTCTTACAATAAGTAATTACCAGACGAATTCACGCTGTCACATGTCAGGAATCGTAAATGCGTTTTAGGAAAAAGGATTCCACGCTTGCAAATAGTTTTGAAATAACACTACTACTGGATTCCTCAGATCGTAAACTACTAAGGACTCAACGAGGAGCAATTTATTCATTAATACTTTAAACAGACGAATAAAAACGTTTAATTTGGTCAAAAATGTCTTGAAGCAGATGTTGATGTGTGGCTGGTAGCGCGTGAGTGGTCACATTAACCATTCCT